TGCATTGACCATTTTAGCAACACCTGCCCTTTAGCTTGCCTGGTGAGCTGCTTCTACAGCCACGGCTGTGCAAATGCTATGATGCAGTTCTCTGCTGCCTCTGAGGCCACCATGTACAACAGCAGGTGGTTTCATAGTTTTGGTTTGGACCTTCACCTTTTCCACACTTAAAAAAACTGATCTGATTTCTATTTCACCTCTGTGTCAGACTCACTTTACCCAAGCTCATGACATCAGTGTATCAATTTGCAAATTTGCACAAGAAATAAAGTGATGTTTAAGTTTTCACATGTCTTTTTTAGAAACATAGCTTCCTTTTACAGGTATATCCGCATGAAAAGTGAAATCATAGCCTGAGATCATTTTCTGAGCAAAAAAAAAAAAAAAAGAAGAAGAAGAACAGAGCATATAGGGGGAGGGGAATTATCCAATGGCATGTTATGCCTAAGTTTCAAAATAGGCTTTGCCAGTGAATCTGGAAGACGCAGAGTTCCCTGACTGGCTCTTCTCCTTCTCTCTGTGAAATGGATGGCCAGGCATGGCAGACAGTTAGCCCCACAATACAACTCCATTTAAGATTCACAGTTCATTTTATAAAATAGCTCCAGTCTATTCACAGTAAACTCTGCAGACTCCAAATTATACCTCCAATACCCCCAACTTCTGTTACCGCTTCAATTATGTCCTTGCCCTTTGAGTATGTTGTTGTGGTGTGCCATTGGTCGCCGCTGACTCATAGCAACCCTATGTACAACACCCCTAAGCCCTGCTCTATCCTGTGCCAATCTTACTGTCTCTGACACACCTACCCCTCCACTACCCCAATCCCTGAGTCAATTCACCTCATAGAGGGTCTTCCTCTCCTACGCTGTCCCTCCACCCCCCCCAAGCATGACGTCCCTCTCCAAGGACTGTTCCCTCCTTGCAACGTGTCCAAAGTATGCCAGACGAAGCTTCAGAATTCTTGCCTCCAAGGAGCAGCCTGGTTTAACCCTCTCCAGGACAAACCTGTTCGTTCTCTTAGCAGTCCGTATACTCTTCTCAACACCACAGCTCAAAGGCATCAATTCTCCTTCTCTAGTCATTGTCCAGCTTTCTGATGCATAGCAAGTGATTACAGAGACCCATCACATGTATCAGGCGCATCATAGTCTCAAGACTGATACTGTTGCTCTTCAGTACCTTAGAGAGGTCTCTAACCACAGACTTTCCCATCGCAATACATCTTTTAGTTTCCTGGCTGTTGGTGCCAAAAGTGTTGATTGTGGAGCCAACCAAACTAAAGCTCTGAACAATCTCAATCTCTTCACCATCTATCATGATGCTGCCAATTGGCCCAGTAGTGAGAATCTTTGTTTTCTTGATATTGAGCTTCAATCAATATTGAAGGCTGCAGTCCTTGACCTTCTACAGCAAGTGTTTCAGGTCCTCCTCAGTTTCAGCAAACAGGGTTGTGTCATTGCATAACACAGATTATTGATGAGTCTTCCACAAATCCTGATGCCACACTTCTTCTCATAGAGCCCAGCCTCCTGGATAATCTGTTCTGCATATAGACTGAAAAGGTACGAAGTTAGGACATATTCCTGGGGTACACCCTTCCCAATTTTGAACCATGCAGTGTTTCCTTACTCTATTCTGATTACTGTCTCCTAGTCCAAGTATAGGTTTCCCATAATCATAATCAAGTGTTCTGGGATATCCATTCTTCTCAAAGTTAACCATAGTTTGTTGTGATCCACACAGTCAAACGCCTTTGCATAATCAATGAAACACAGATAGACATTCCTCTGGTATTCCCTGCTTTCAACCAAGATCCATCTAACGTTAGCTACAATATCCCTAGTACCATGACCCCTTCTAAACCCAGCCTGCACATCTGGTAGTTCTCTGCTGATGTGCTTGCTGTTCCAGTCATTTTTTTATAATCTTCAGCAGAATCTTGCTTGCATGTGATATTAATGATATTGTGCGATAATTTCCATACTCTGTCGGATCACCTTTCTTTGAATTGGGAACAAATATCGATCTCTTCCAATCAGTTGGCCAAGTGGTTGTCCTTCAGATTTCTTGGCACAACTTGGTGAGCACATCTAGGGCAGTATCTCTTAGCTGAAATATGTCAATTTGCATACCATCAATTCCTGGGGCCTTATTTTTTTGCTAATTCTTTCAAAGCAACTTGAACTTCCTCCTTTATCACCACAGGCTCTTGTTCATATGTTGGTTCATTAAATTCTTCTGTGTCAGCCAATTCCTTTCAGTACAGTGACTGTATACTCTCCATCTTCTTTTAATATTTCCTGGATCATTTAATATTCTGCCCAAAGCATCCTTAAGTATTGCAACTCCAGGTTTGAATTTCTTCTTCATTTCTTTGAGCTTAAGAAATGCTGAGCGAGTTCAGCCCCTTTGCTTTTCTGATGCCAGCTCTTTGTACATTTCTTTCTAATAATTTACTTTGTCTTCCCATGCTGCCTTTTGAAATCTTCTGTTCAGCTCCTTAATATCTTGATTTCTTCCCTCAGCTTTGGCTTCTCAGTGCTCTAGTGCAGTGTTCAAAGTCCATTCTGATATCCATTTTGGTCTTTTCTTCCTCCTCTGTCTTTGTAATGACCTTTTGCACTCTTCCTGGAGGATATTCCTAATATCCTCCCATAACTCATCTGGCCTTCACTCATTAGTGTTCAAGACCTCAAACCTGTTCCTGAGATGGTTCTGAAATGGACTTTTATGCTTTAGTTGTATCCATTTTTTCATAACATTCAGAGATCATTGCTTAAGTTTCAGGTCAAAGATCTAATTATATTTTTGATGATTCAGAGTTCTGTCCACTTTCTCTTCCTTCCAAAGAAAAAGATAAAAGTCAACGTTGCAGATCTGCCTTCAAAAACTAGCACTTGGTCTTTATTTCCTCTAAGTGCAAAGATGACATCATCAGACTATTGTGTGTGACCCAGGCATCACATGCCTCCTTCAGGAGGAAGTGTGATAGCTGTGATAGTGGATGCATGCTGTGCAGCAATTTCCTCTTTCTATGACTCCAGTTGTACACGAAACCATTCAGTCCTCTAGCAAAATACAACAATATTCTGAAGAATCCTAGAAAATTCCGTCATTTTACTTGAATCTACAATCAATTCTTTAGAAGCAGCAGCCAAGAAATCAAACTATGTGTTTCACTGGACAGATCTTCTATAAAGAACCTCTTTAAAGTGCTAAAGAGCAAGGATATCACTTTGATGACTAAGGAGCACCTGCCATAAGAAATTACATTTTCTGCTGTATCACACATGTGTGGAAGTTGGACAATGAATAAGAAAAGACAGAGAAGGATTAATGCTTTTAAATCACAGTATTGGCATAGAATACTAATTATATGAACTGTCAAAAGAACAAGCAAATCTGCTCTGGAAGTGTAATCAGAATGCACCTTAGAAGCAAGAATGGTGACACTTCATCTTACATTCTTTGAGTCAAGATGAGGCAGAAGCTATACATTGACGTTGTGCTTGGTGAAGTAGGGGGCCAGCGAAAGAGAGGAAGACTTGAATGAGATGGAACAATGGCAATAACAATGGGCTCGGGAACAGGAGCAGTTGTGAGGGTGGCAGTGTTTGTACACAGGGTCATGGTGGGTCAGAGCATCAGGAGGGCATGTAGCAACATCAGAAATGTTGAGCATATTTTCATGTATTTGTCTGGCATCAGAGTGTATTGTTCAGTGGAATGTCTTTTGCTTAGGCTGTAAGAATGATGAGATTGCTTACTTTTCTTTCTGTTGAATTTTGAAAGTTACTTATATAATAATTATCTGTCAAATAGATGTTATGCAAATACTTTCTCCCACTTCATAACTTGTTTTTTCATCCTCTTAACAGTCTTTCACACAGAAGTTTCTTTTTTTAAAAAAAAACCTTAATAAATTTGATAAATCACAGGAAGTATTGCTCAAGAAAAAGAGCGAACATAAAAAAAGGAATAATACAGATGAAAATGGGGCCATAACTAGAAATAACTGCTGAATAATCAGCGTTAGAAGGGAAAACTTCATGTGGAAAAAGATCAAGTTGGATTCCAGTCACATATCATGCATAAGAAAATCCATTTCTTATTAAGGACTTAAAGGTCAGAAGTAAAAGCAAAAAGATCTTACTAGCTAATCTGTGTGAGTGACTTTTGGAGCTTGGAATAGGAAAATAATCCTTTGAATGAGACAGATGAAGAGTTATTTGTAAAAGAAACAATAGCTTCAAAGCCTCAACTATTTCAAAATTAATAACATTTGACTATCAAAAATCACATTTCAAACAGATAGAAGACATTTGTAGTAGTAATATACCCGTCCGAGTGCTGTCTCTGTCTTTTCTGCTCCCTGTGTGGCCTCTATTTCCCTGCATTGTGGTTTGACAAATACATGAAGGGAGAAGGCCAAGATGATGTGGGCTTCACTATGCATTTCCCTTCTTCAAAGGTTATAATCCCAAGTTGATGGCTGCACGTACTTGTTTTATATCTTTTCCCAGCTTTCATTATTGTTTACAACAGGAGGTTATGTCTTATACTAGCTTCTCCATTACAGGTAGATTCAAAAGCCTCACTAAATTTGGGTTCAATCCATCACAGTGACTCACCAACACCGCCCTTTCTTCAGATGTACTGCCCCAAAGAACTAGCATCAAGGGAAAGTGGATGAGGGCCAGCGATGGTTCTGACTTCTCACCAGAGTAAACTACAGTTTGTTGGTGAACAACCATATCCGACTTAGATTGGTGTTCCACTCATACGAAGCATGAAAGCTAATTTTCTCATTCTAGCCCGTCTATTAGAAAGACAAACAGATCAATTAGCCAAAGAAAATATATAACACTTAAGGAACAACTTCCTCCTTGAGAAATTCCACCAATGGCTACCAGGGAAAGTATATAAACAATAACAAGGAACACTTCTACTGATTGGTCTGAACATTGGCAGTCCAGTGTATAAAAGACAGGGTATAGATGGAGTTCTTAGATTCTGGGAAACTCAACTCTGAACAGAGGCATCTGGCCTTCACACCTGACACCATGACCTGCTCCTGCTGCTCCCCTTGCTGCCAGCCCACCTGCTGCCGCCCAACTTGCTATCAAACTATCTGCCATACCAACTGCCTCCGACCAGTGTGTGAGGACAGCTGCTGCCGCCCCTCCTGTGGCAGCTCCTCCTGCTGCCAGCCCACCTGCTGCAGACCCACCTGCTGCCAGTCCTGCTGCTGCCGCCCAACCTGCTATGAAAACACCTGCCGTACTCACTGCCATACCACCTGCCTCCGACCAGTGTGTGAGATCAGCTGCTGCCGCCCCTCCTGTGGCAGCTCCTCCTGCTGCCGCCCCTCCTGTGGCAGCTCCTCCTGCTGCCGCCCCATTGCCTGCTGCCAGCCAGCTTGCTGCAGCCCCATGTACTGCCAGAGAACCTGCTACCACCCAACATGTGTCCGCCTGACTGGCTGCCTGCCTGAGACCTTCGGGTGCACCTCCTGCCAGCCCTGCCACCGCCCATCCTGCTGTGGGTCCAGCTGCTAGCCAGCCCTGCTGTGGCCCAACCTGCTGTGAGACCACCTGCTGTACAGCCACCTGCTTCCATTCTTGCTGTGTCTCCAGCTGCTCTCAACCTTCCTGCTGCTGATCCTCTTGCTAAAGACCCACTAACTGCCACTTTCCAACTTGACATTAATCAACACAAGCCTCCCAACAAAACCGCTCCCCAGACTTTGCCATCTTGCAAGCTTCTGTTAATTGTCTTCTATAAGTCTGGACAATCTGCTTTCTGGGAACCAGCCTGCTTTAACCTGGTCTTCCATGTTTCTGTTGATCAGTGTCTGCTCCATTTGTTCTTAGATCAGGTTCTTAGATGTGGAAAGTTAATCTTCACCTCTTCTCTATAAGCAACTTCAAAACAGAGACCTCATGGTTACTTCCTGATCTCTGTCAATAATAAACAATTTTTTCTCAATCTATTCACTTCTCTTGTGTCTTGCTTTTCTCTGTGTGCACTTGGCACATCTTCCCAACTACGAGTCTTCCTTATTTATTTCCTAATAAGATTTGTACTAACATGCATCTTTTTCTGTACACTACTTTTGTTTCCACAGGATTTTCGTTGTAAGATCTTAAAATAATTTCGTATGCCACATCTGTTACTCCCTCCTATTCTTACCTATGGACAAAACCAGAATAATTTTGGAAATCTATAAATGAGAAAAAACAGATCGTTTGAATCCACCATCTGCTCCTCAAGAGAAAGATAGGCAATCACTTCCCATGCCATTTACAACCTCTAAAAACCCCCTGGAGGGTCAGCTATAAGTTGGTTCCAACTTGATGCCACATAATAACAACAACATAGCTAAGAAATGTTTCCTTAATGTTGTAAGAGCAGTACACCAGACTTATTTAAATCCAGAGATATTTTCATCACTTCTTACTGCAAGTGGAAATAGCACTGATGCACCTGTACTGGCTGCCTATAATGGAAATCCTAATATGAGCATGTGCATCCCACTTGTCTGTGTACAAGCAGTGGAAAACAAGGAACAAGAAAAGAAGAAAGACTTGTGCATTACTAGAATCCACAGTCCATATTATGGAAATGTATGCAAAATTTCTTAAAATTTATATATAATTGAGAATTAACTAAAGAAAAAAAATAAAGTCTGACGTGAGGAACAAAACATCTGAAGGGTTTTATGGTTATTCAAGATCTTAGGCCAATGATTATAAGCACTTTGGAAGCAGGAGTGTCATCCATTTCCTAAACAACATGCCTCTGGAAACTCCTTGAACTTTGAGAAATGATGGTTCTAGAAAAGTCTTCAGGTCTTTTGTTCTAGAGTCGCTATGAGTCGTGATTGTCTTGACTGCAACCAACAACAACATTATAAGCACTAAGAACACTTAGCAAGGTTTCCAGGTATCACAGGGCCAATAAACAAAAATAATTTTATATGACAGAAATAAACAGGTACAAATATTGAATCAAAATTATTGCATTTATAACATCATGAAATAACATCCTTTACTTGAAAATAAATATATAAAAGTTGCACAAGAATGCTACACAGGTGTCAATGAGACATTATTATGAGAAATGAAAAAAGCTTTCAATAAACAAAAAGATACATTAAGTTGATATACCTCTTTGATAGAAGAGACAATCTTGGTAAAATACCAATTTTCCAAAAATTACCTATGAATGCAATATAATTCCAATAAAATATCTGCTAGATTTTGTGGGTATATATGAGTATGAATATATATAAAATCGACATATTCAGTAAGAAACTAACAAACATTAGAATAAAAACATTTCACAGAAAGAGCCAGTATATGTCTAATATACAACATTAAAGAAATGTAAGTTGGAGTACAGATTATATATACATATGTATCTGTATTATGTATATGTATATTATGTTGTTGTTTGTTGTTATGTGCCGTCGAGTCGCCTGCGACTCATAGCGACCCTATGTACAACAGCCCTAAACTCTGCTCTGTCCTGTGCCAGTTGCACTGTCTCTGACACTCACATCCCAATTATCCCAGTCACTGAATCAATC